GCTTCTTATTGGTGCAGCTCTGGCCATTGCAGCTATCTGGGGAGTGAAGCAGTGGATGGAAGACCTCTCTCTCTCTCTCTCTCTCTCTCTCTCTCTGCCTGCCTCTGCTTCTCTGTAACTCTGCTTTTCAAAAATAAATAAAATAAAAAAGAAATTCCCTTTTATAAATTACATTTTATAAACTTTAAACCCTTTTAACCAGCCAAAATTACTGAAAATGTTATTCACCAAGAAAAACTTGAATTGAAAGAAAAGCTTTGGTACTGCACTTGCTAGACAACCCATATGGTTTTATTGTTTCATGGAAGAAAAAAAAACTACATATTCTTATGATATATTCTTCTCACTTTGGCATGGAGTAACTTCAAAGTCCCTGCCAATGATCTTTTTTTTTAAGATTTATTGATTTATTTGACAAAGTTATAAGAGACAGGGAGACACAGAGAGAGAAATCTTCCATCTGCTGCTTCACTCCCCAAATAGCCCCAATGGCTAGAGCTGGGTCTGGCTGAAGCCAGGAGCAAGGAGCTTCATTTGGGTCTCCCAAGCAGGTACAAGAACACAAGCACTAGTGCCATCCTTGGCTCCTTTCCCAGGAGCACTAGCAAGGAGCTGGCTTAAAAGTAGAGCAGCCAGGACTTGGACCAGTGCCCACATGGGATGCCAGTGTTTCAGGTGGCAGCTTTACCCATTATGCCACAACAGCCCTCCTGACAACAATCTTAAAAGAAGTATTGCCTACTAATGTGGAGTTATTATCTCTGTCACATCCAAGGCCTTGTTGTATGACTTCATCTAAAGGTTTTAAAAAATGGAATCTGAATATGAAGCTATTCTTCTCAACATAAATTTAAACTCATTAGATTTATAGAACTTAAGGTTGAAATGTTAGATATATCCTTTGTCAGAAGTTGGATCAAAAGTTATCATTTGCAAATAGAAAATTATAGCTCCTCAATTAATGTGATTATAAAAATTTATACATAACTTAGTTATCATGATAGACGGTTTTGGCCATATGAATGAAAGAAATTATTTTATATTATGAAAGTCCCAATCTTGTAAAAATTATGCAAATATTCAATACTTTTTCCTGAACCATTTTTGACTCATTGGCATGAAACTCCATCATCCCTGAATGTTTTAGTGAATATTTCCTATAAACAAAGATAATCTTGCACATACTTACCATGTAGCTGTGAAATGTCAAGAAATTAATATCCTATCACTACAACCTAATCATTAGACTCTATTCAAATTTCTCCATTTGTTCTAATAATGTCCAATATAAAAACATGAAGAATGAAGTTCAGAATTACTTTTTACCTTAAGTTGTGTGTCCTTATTAATATCTTTTCTTTCAAGGACAGTTTCTCCTTGTTTGCATTGTGGCATTCCATATCAGAGCACCAGTTAAGAGTCCTAGCTGTTCCATTTTCCATCCACATCACTGCTAATATGCCTGGTATAGCAGTGGAAAATGTTCTAAGTGCTTGGGCCCCTGCTACCCATGAGGGTGACCTGGAAAGAGTTCCAGGCTCCTGGTTTCAGCCTGGACCAACCCCAGCTATTGTAACAATTTAGGGAGTAAATCAGGTATGGATGATCTCTCTCTCTCTCTCTCTCTCTCTCTCCCTCTCCCTTTTTCTCTCTTTCTCCTTCCCTCCCTCCCCCTCTGTCTATATATCATTTTGCCCTTCAAATAAGTAAATACATCTTTTAAAAAAGAACAGTTTGTTTCTTAAAATTTCATGATATTGACTTTTTTTTGAAACATTCAGTTCATTTTCACAATGTCAGTTCATTTATTAATTTAAAGAACTCCAGGATTAAGTTCTAGGCCACTGACTTTGGCCTGGACCAGCCCTGGCCATTTTAGCCGTTTTGGGAGTGAATAAGCAGATGGAAGATCTCTTCTCTTTTTCTCTCTCTCTCTATATATATATTCTGCCTTTTAAATAAATAAATACTTCTCGGCCGGCGCTGCAGATCATTTGGCTAATCCTCCGCCTGTGGCGCCGCTACCCCGGGTTCTAGTCCCGGTTGGGGCGCCAGATTCTGTCCCAGTTGCTCCTCTTCCAGTCCAGCTCTCTGCTGTGGCCCGGGAGTGCAGTGGAGGATAGCCCAAGTCCTTGGGCCCTGCACCCGCATGGGAGACCAGGAGAAGCACCTGGCTCCTGCCTTTGGATCAGCATAATGCACTGGCCGTAGCAGCCACTTGGGGGTGAACCAATGGAAAAAAGGGAGACCTTTCTCTCTCTCTCTCTCTCTCTTTCACTGTCTAACTCTGATTAAAAAATAAATAAATAAATACTTCTTTAAAAATACATTATATATTATTGTTATTAAGCAAGAGAAAAGGTAAGCCACACATTGGGAGAAGATATTTGGAATATATATATCTGGTTAGTGATTTGTACCCCAAATTTATATATATATTACATATATATATAATATATATATCTAATTTTTTTTTGTTCACAATGCTTTTATTTTTAGTCGACTATAAGCACACAGCGGAATTAACACAGCAAGAAGCAACTCCAGACCAGCCTTCCTTACACCGATGAAGAGTGATCCACTCAACAGGCCCAGACATAAGGATTCCTGACATCCTGTCATCTACAACAGCTGATCGGCTAGACAGCAAGGCCTCCTTCCTAACTGCTTTTTCCAGTAATTCAGAGAAACCAGAGCGGACACTGACGCCTGTGGGGCCATCTGAGACATCCCCTACTGCGGCTCACCCGAGACTCAAGCTCTGGCTGTCTCAGGGGATACCACTGTGCACAATTCAGGACTCAGGATCACAAAAGGCACAGACATTTTTCTCGGATGTTTTGATACTCTGCTCTACTCCTGTAGGCTTTTTTTTTTTTTTACCTGCACTTTTTTTCTTCTTTAAATTCTGGGTTGCTAGCTTTCTATTAACTATTTGGTGACTCCATTACAATACCAAAACAATCCCCCATAACGGAATTCAAATTTGACCTAAATATAAAGTGGGACGTGTGCCTAATCTAGAGTCACAGAGAACAGGCGGCAGGAAGTCACCCGACACCACTATCCGACTGCTCAGGTGCAAACGGGGCAGGGAAGGGGAGAATCTACATGCAGCACGGACCACGAGAGGCCAGCAGGAGGCTCGGGGACCACGCCTGTCTCCAGGCTTCACCCTACTTCCCAGACAGCTGCTCGTACAGCTTGGGCACATAGTCGTCCCACTCAGCCTGGTAACACGAGCCGGCCACCGGCGTCCCCAGGTGGTACTTCTTGCGGAAGTTCGCCACCTTGAACTTGCCGCGGTGGTCTCCAGACCGGTTGCTGAGGACGGGCTCATCGCACTTCAGCGGCCCATCCTGCTCGTAAATGAGCCAGACGTAGCGGTGGAGGCCTGTGCCCTTGGGAGGCCCAGAGCCCAAGTAATCGGAGAGGACCGTGCCGCTGCTGATGTTGCCGCCCTTCATGTTGACCACCAGGAAGTGGTGCCACTCCCTGTATTTGGGGTCCTTCCTACTGGGGGCATCAGGGTCTGTCAGGACCAAGGTGTACAGTTTATCTGGATCAAGACCATTCCATGCAATGCTGGTGGGCCTATTCTTAACCTGGGTGGGCGTCAGCACTTGGCCCAGCTCGTCCAGCGCCACGCCGCTGTAGGTGACCTGCAGCGGGTGCTGCGGCCGCTCCTCCACTTCCTGCAGACTCAAGGGCCCGGACCACTTGCTGAGGTCCACCGGCATGGCGGGGCAGAGCGGGGGCGATCAGCCGGGAGGGCAACGGGAGGCCAGGCGCTGACCCGGGGCTCAGGCTCCGAACCGTCCGCAAACTGACGCTATATATATCTAATCTTAATACATTGGAAAACAGCCCAAATAAAAGAGAAGGAAAATGTTCAAATGGATATTTCGCAAAAGAATAACATGAAAAAACCCCTCAACATCACTACTAACCAAAGAAATAGAAATTAAAACCTCAGTGAGCTATTACTACACACCTATTATAAAGGCCAAAATGGAAGACTGTCAGTGTCAAGGATGTGAAGGGTGTAACATACATGGAGCACCAGCATATTGCTTCTACCACTCTAAAAACTACTTTTGAAGTTTCTTACAAAGTTAAACAAAATTTACCCAATGACCCTACTCTTCCATTTAACATAATACTTATCCATGAGTGCTCATAAAAATTTTTTTCACAATAGCCTACAACTAATCAACTCAAATGTCCATCAAAAAGTGATTGAATAAGCAATATGCAGCTCACAAATATAATGGAATACTACTAAAATATTAAAAGTAAAAAATATTGATACAACATGAATATCACCAACACATAAGTAGCTAAAGAACTCATGCACAAAAATCCTTTCAGTACCAAACAATGAACTTCAAGTATAACTTCTTTTTAGGGATTTTATCAGGTCAGAGAAAACAAAACCTTAAGAAAATTATTTCTAAAACATTTATATTGACACAGACTCCAAAACAAACTTTTATTAATTTCATAGATTTTGCACTCATATTTTCTGAATTTTATGAAATATCTCTAAGTTTGCATCAAGAATATATTTTTCTGTTATTTTAAAGCCTCATGTGCCATTTTACAGTTGGGTTGAAATCTATAAGTCACCCCAAAATAAACACATCTAGCTATTTATGTATAATGCTATGTGTGTATGCACACACACACAGTCACCACTCTCAAATCATATTAACATGGTGTTGTGATGGTGAAAGTACTTAAAGAAAGGTGAATCTGTTCTGTCAGATAGCTAAGTGATATGATCTCTATAGCATTAAAAAAAAGAAATGGCAATGATTTATCTAAAGATTCACAGCAGGAGGATAATGTAACAGGGGTTGTAATAACAAAATTTTTGATTTGTAGGCCTGTCAAAGTTTGTAGAATTTTAAAAATATGGGATGATGTTATTTACAGGTATTAAGAAAAGCATGCAATAGCATATGCTCTACAGACTCTGGACTCAAACGTCCCATTCATTCCATGTTCTACAATTATCTTATTTTGTAGAGATGTTATTCAATTTAACATGCAGCATGGAAATTCTGGCTTCTTAAGTGAAAAGAAGCAGAGAAAGTTGGCAAAAAGAAAATTGTGTTCTTTGGTTTTTTCCCTAATTGTTTGACAGAAGTGGCTTGGGCATGTTGAAAACAGAGTGGAAGCTAATGAAGGAAGATGTTTTGCCCTCTGCTTTAAACTACTCTTTTTAGATGTAACAGTGTTCCTATTTTTGCAACTCTGTCTCCTCAGGATACTGTCTGAAAGCCATTCAAAAGTGTATGGATATGTTTACACAGATACAAAAGAAGAGAATTGTGGCTCTTAACAAATGTGCAAGACCTAAATACTGGTAAGTTCAGAACACTGGTACCAAATTGTTCACTCATATTATGTGAATAAGCACTTCCTTGGTAGAGGCAGTTGTGTAAATGCCTTCATGGAGGCCTACCATACATATTGTCCTACTCTCTCCTCCCTATCTGTTTCTTATTAAAAAAGACAACAAAGCACTATTGTGTCCTTTGGAAGATGATTGCTACTTATGTTAGAGGAACTGGAAGGTAATGTTTTGGCTTTTCAAAGCTCTGCTTCTTGTTGACCCAACTGTTTTTGCTTTGATCACTGATGCCCTGATCTTAATATTGACAATATTATGTTTTGGTTTATAAGATCTGGATCACAAGAAACTACAGGTGACAGTAAAGAAATGATATGAAGCAGTGTAATAAATGTTGTAATGAGAATGTATTACTATGTTCTATGGACTAACATTATTGTATCTAATATTCAGCATCATCCAGGGAGATAGATTTCATCTTCATCTATCCCCCCTCCATCATAAGCACCTACTGCAATGTAGTTGATTTGTGTTCTTAGAACTAAGTTAATCCTTGTTTTATTTTTTGTGGATCTGTGGTTTTTGTTTATAGCTTCTAGGTCTTGTGCACTATCTGTGTAACAGTTTGTTCATATGCATCAGTGCTTCTGATAGTCACTGTATAGAATTCTATAGCATGCTTTCACCACTATATAACCTTTCTCTTCATGATGTGTACTCAGCTTGTTTAGCAATCTTGATTACAACAAATAATTCTGTGAAAAATGTTATCTTTCTTTTGTCCTATGAGAAGTACAAGAGTGTCACTGGGGTACCCAATAGTGAGATTACTCTATCAGAGGATTTGTACCTATTTAATTTTTCTAATTGCTATCACACCATTCCCTCAAATCAATGTGCCATTATGTGTTTCATTTGCAATAAAAGAGTTTGTTTTTCTTCATCTTCTTAATTTTTGTCAATCTGATGAGCATAAAATATTATTTTATTGGTTTAATGGACATTTCTTTGATGATTAGTGACTTTGAGCTTCTCTTTATATATTTATCTTCTATTTTGTTTTTTCTTACTGTAAATTAACTGTTATAACTTTTGCTGATTTTTCTGTTGGATTTATTGTCTTTTTCTTGATAATTTTTAGAAATTTTGAGTACATTCTAGATACTCAGCTCCCTATTAGTCTTGGATGTTTCAAATAGCCATAATAGATATGACTTATCTATTAGCTTTATGTCATATTTTGTTAACCAGTGTCCTATTGTCATAGTAAAATCCACCAATTTCTTTAACTTTTGGTTTAAAGGTCTTATTTAAAAAATGTGCCATGGGGCCAGCACTGTGGGTAGTGGGTTAGGCTGCTGCCTGCAGTGCTGGCATCCCATTTGGGCATCAGTTCAGGTCCCAGCTGCTCCATTTCCCATCCAACTCCCTGCTAGTGGCCAGGAAAAGCAGACCCAAGAACTTGGACCTCTGTACCCACATGGGAGACCCAGATGGGACTCCTGGCTTCTGGCTCCTGACTTCAGCCAGACCATTGTGGCCACTGGGAAAGTGAATCAACAGATGAAAGATCTCTTTCTCTCTCCCTCTCTCTCTGTAACGAGGCTTGTCAAATACATTCTTAAAAATAAAGGAAATGTATCATCATATCAAATTCAAAGAATGTTTTACCCCTATATTATTACCTTTTTCCCTTAGGACTTAATCCATCTACAATTTTGATTTTTATATAGTAACATACTCGGGCATAGAGAACAGCTGTGTAAGGGTATGGAGGTGTGAGAACGTATGTATCAGGCTTCTAGTCACTCTACATGGCAGAATGCAGGATTCATGAGGGAAAGTAAAGACAGCTGATGCCTCAGTGGTTGATGGGAGGATCACAAAAGAGTTTTTTTTTTTAAAGACATATACAATTAATACACAAAGTGCATATTTAAGATATACATCTTGATGAGTTTGGATATGTACATATACTCATAATACTATCATTGTGAGGAGTCAGATGGGTTAATAGGCAGTCAGGTTTGTCATGGTGGAAACTGAGGGTACAAAATGCTTGCTTCACCAAGTTAGCGTTAGCAAGTCAAAAGTGCCTGCCTCACTCCTTAGGAATTCCCAGTTTCACCATGAGAATAGCAAGGGAGTAGTGATTCCATCCTTCCGAGCTCCCAAGTTACTGTAAAATAAATTAGGTATCCCATCTTTCTGATGGCTCTTTTGTTTTATCATGAGCAAGACAGATTAAAAACATTACAAAATCAGGTCTTTTGTTGGGTTTGTCTCTGACTTGTGCTGATTGAGAGTTTCTTCCCCAAGATTATGCTTAAAAACTCCACTACCACCAGCCCCTTTGGGTTTTTTCTTTCTTGGAGCCCCCCTCTAGGCCACTCTGTCTGGAGGTCTCTGACTTAAACAAATCTTACTTTTAAATACATCTTGCTTTTCTCAATGCCTAGTCCACTTGGAAATTCTTCTTCCATTTGAGACAAAGAACTGAGATAATCTTTCTTCTTCCATCGTTTCACCTGTAGCATCATCACAACCAAAGTACTGAACATATCCATGAGCTCCAAAAATTCCCTTTACTTTTTTTGGATGACCATTTAACATGAGATTTAACCTCTTAAAATATGCAAATTACACAATTCTATATTGTTAGCTATAGGTACTACGTTGTACAGAAAGTCTCCAGAACTTTTTCATCTTGTGAAACATAAAGTTGCATACCCACTGAATAATAGTTCCCTTTTCTCCCAACCCATGACAGTCATATTATGTTTTCTGTGTCTATGAGTTTTGACTATCTCAGATGTTTCATATAAGAGAAGACATGCAGCATTTGTTCTTTTTGACAGGCTTATTTCATTTTGTATAATGTCTTCTAGTTATCATTCATGTATACCTTTTAAGATAGCTTTAAAAAAGTAAGTGCTGATAAGAATTTGAAGACATAGGTAACCTTATAGACTCTGATAAGAATGTAGAATGGTGCAGCCGCTACGGAAAACTGCATGGAGTGTCCTCAAAATATTAAAAATAAAATCGCCACGTTATTCAGCAATCCCATTTCTAGCTATATATCCAGAAGAATTAGAATCAGGATCTTGAAGAGATATGTGCATTCTCATGTTAACTGCAGCATTATTCATTACAGATATGAAACCTATCCCACAGTCTATAGGCAGATGACTAAATAGGGAAAATGTGAAATATATATGCAATGGAATATTATTAAGTCTACAAAAGAACAGATTTTTGGCCCCAAACAAGTAAGTTTGGATTTTATTGTTTTGTTTCTTTTAAAGATTTATTCATTCATTTGAAAATCAGAGTTACACAGAGAGAGAAGGAGAAGTAGAGAGAGAGAGGTCTTCCATCTGCTGGTTCACTCCCCAATTGGCTGCAATGGCTGGAATTGTGCTGATCCAAAGCCAGGAAGGACTTGGGCCATCTTGTACTGCTTTC